TCCTAAATCGACCCGATTCCTTCACTAGCTTATAGAGCAACATCTACTCTTCAAAACTTATGAAGTCGCAACTGCTGACATCTTCAAACAACAGATTTATAACAGTGGAAATTTCGCATGATTTTTCACTATTTAAATATTCAAAATTCTAGTTCTCGGCCGTTACTGCCTAGATCGACCTACTTCCTTCGCAGCACGACATAACTAAATTTACTTAATAAAATCCGTATAGTCCAACAAACTTTTATTTCCAAATACACCATTTACTAAACACGTCTATTTTAAATTTTCATGAATAAAATTTATAAATATTTTTAATATTCATCGTATCTGTGGCCCTAAAGAAAGCCGTTCGGTCACGACTTGACCTAGAAAGATAGCTCTGTTCGTCCGTCCAACCCCCCCTCACCTCCTTCCCCCCCCCCGTCGACGTTTTTGGGAGGTGAGTGTCCGGCACTACCACCTTCACTTTTGGCCGGCCAGTGGTAGCTGGAACCACCTTCACTTTTGGTGGGCCCGGCTCCCCCCATCGCACCTCTGCTTAAGCCACATCATTGAAAGGAAAGTTCAAGGAAAAGACTGCTATAATAAAAACAGTAAAAAGTTATGGGACACCGTAACAAGAATTCGGTACAGCTGTTCTAAGAGCAAACAAGGATGAATCAAGCAAAAACACATAGTATTATACATAGCTAATTTTCGGAAAAAGATTTCTCAGAATTAGCTAGCATGGTTTACTGGAGGGAGAAGCATTGCAAAGGTTTTGGCATGTGTAATTTCTGATAAGACTCTGTGATCTGATGTACACGCATTTTTTGAAGAAGTCTGCATGTTACATAAATGAAATTCAAAAATGCTTCCAAATGACAATTTCGTGCATACGCGCATATGCACGGCCAAATGCGCAAGGAAAGTTGGTGGTACATTCAAAATGACTCAACCATCAATTTGTTAAGCTTTGAGGCGCCACCTGTAATGTGCTTTGCCAAGCATCACGTGCACGAACAGCAGATTTTACGTTTGCATAACGAGTAGCAGCGGAGTGACATTGAATACGACGAAAACTAATTATCAAGACAAGAGAAGAAACCTACAAAAACCCTCGAAGGAAATTGGACTCGTTGGAAAGCTTGTGTATTTTCAATTAGGCAATGTTAAATTGAATATTGTTTTTAGTATACGTTTTATGTGACCGCGTATGTTCACATCTATTAGTAGAAACATATAAAAGACCGTGGGAAGCCTTTAGTGGTGGTTGTGCATTTGTGTATCGCACTTATACTCTTTCTCTCGTCCGTACTCGATGTAGTTTTCTAAGCTCTTTCCCAAACTCTCTTAGCCTTGTCTGGTAGTTTCATAGTCAACAATTTCCACTAGTATTTATTCTGTATCGGCCATAATGATTTTGCCGCTGGCCGACGGCTCAGGTACAATCTTTTGTAATTTATTCATCTTAGTTAGAGAGGTCACTTGCATTTAGTTCAATCACATGGTTTGTCTCCTTGCTAATAAATAGTTGTTGGGAATTGACTTCGTTGAGGACGGCGAATACCAATCACCTTATGTAAGACATTTCCATCAATCTTAGTACTAGCTGCTCTGCGGAACCATGCCGAGCCTTACATGGAGCTTCCGGCTTCGAACTATACAGCGTTAATAATTGAAGTTGAAATTTTAGAAACATAAGCATTGCCGACGACTAAGTACTATTAGAGACGAAACTCCAGTAATTCCTGAAGACCCAGCAGAAGAATGGGAAAAGGAGAAAAGAAAACCCATGGCCATACCACCTACGGGAATGCATGCTCTCCGCCTGTTTATTTTTACTTATCGTTTTAGCTACGCTTTTGGGGGAAGAATGTAACTGTTCTTTAAATGCATAAGAACGTAAAGCATTATACGTCACTGCAATCGCCTATTTGTTATATCTTTGGCAGCTTTCAATGGCAGTTGCGGACAATTTATTTCGGACTATTCTTTTTGCAAAATTTGCCCAAAATTCAGCAAAATTTTTTTTCGTTTTCCGGGTAATTCATGTCCCAGAGGCTCCTCCCATAATTTGCAGAAACATCTGTACTGTAGACATGGTTATTCAATGCCCCGATTGTTCCCCTACTTGATGTTTCACCTAAACGCTCTACTCCACTTGTTCTCCATATCGAGCAAATTTGGTTGATTTTTGGCCAATTATCTAAAGCCATTCTCCATCCATTTAACCGTCCACGTGAGGACCCCAAAAGAACAACACAAGGATTCCGATGCTTGGGAACCACGTTCAACCGAAAATCATACTAACTTGTTTTCCTGTGTCGCTCATTTTCGCACAAAGTAGTATTGTTCTGAATTTGTAGTAACATTAGGATCATTAACCGTATTTATCACGTATTATTAGAACAAAACAACCTTTAAATGAGGCTGTCTTCATTCAAATTCTTTCAATCCTTCGTCGACACAAGAAAGTAGGATGTCGGTCCTTTCGACCGCATCGCGCACAGCGCGTGCGGGTCACGCAAATGCAGTCATCGTGGAATTCCGCGCACCGCCCACACAGGCGATACACAAATGCACAACCACCACTAAAGGCTTCCTACGGTCTTTTATATGTTTCTACTAATAGATGTGCGGTCACTAACATACGCGGTCACATAAAACGTATAATAAAAACAATATTCAATTTAACGTTGCCTAATTGAAAATACACAAGCTTTCCAACGAGTCCAATTTCCTTCGAGGGTTTTTGTAGGTTTCTTCTCTTGTCTTGATAATTAGTTTCGTCGTATTCAATGTCACTCCGCTGCTACTCGTTATGTAAACGTAAAATCTGCTGTTCGTGCTTGTGATGCTTGGCAAAGCACATTACACACCTGCAATTTTTTTTTCTAAAAATTTTGAACAATAGGTTTTTCAGGCACCGCAAATGGTCTGAATTTTTACCAAATGATTCCAAACCTTTGTTTCTCGCACAAAGTTGGAAAGTTCTTTAATTTTCGAATTTATCTAGCTAATATGTTTTGCATGTCCTTTGAAACCAGACTCTCACTCAAAACATTTGTAATGCGATCGAATTTCTTGCTTAGTGCGAAATTGGAGCAGAAAAAAAATTAGTGCTATGTCTCAAAAAGATTCCATCTGATGTGTGAACCACACTTCATCTATAAAATTATCCTTACAGGAACGCTTGGATTTCTTATCAATTCTTTTACAAGTTTGATCGTGCGTCAAAATGAGTTAGAGATCGAAAAAACAAGGGAACTCTGTTTGCAACCGTATATAAAGTGCGGTTCATAATTATAAACACCCAAAATTTTGTAAGTTTTTGGTCTTTCTGGGAGAAACTCAAAAAGCCGTTGGTACCATGCGATAGAACACAGCCGAAAACGGTATATGATCCATAAGAATAGAAATGGATGTCAATCTTAGGAGTGTTTAAGCGCCTAGTGTGGATTTTTAGCGGTTAATAATTATACGAACACCTCGAACAAAGGTCCATTTTTTATTCAAGATCGCAGTCGTTTGAGTCCAAATTTTTTGTAAAGCTACAGTAGCAAAGTCTGACGTGTCCGCTACACACTGAACCCAGTGCAGTTTAAAAAGAGGACCGTTACTTTTTTTCAGAAGGCTCTAAATGCTTCTGGAGTGATTAGGCTCCAAAAACAGCCGTTCTTCTGCGGTTTACGCGCTCTAATTAGCTTCTACCAGAGCTATGAAATAAAATAAGCTCTTTTTATGGGTATCTTGTTTGACGCTTAGAAGTTCCAACCTTACCACAGAATTAGCACGATTTCGAGCCTCAAAACTCAGCTTCTCTCTCGCGCAAACATTTGATATGAAGCAGCTGCATTGTTTACATGATGATGTTTCTGTGCCAAAGTTTTTGGGTTCTTTGTAGAACTGTTCTTGAGGCTGTGGAGCTACAAGCCAAATAAAGGTGCGATTGCAATAGTAAAAGCAGTGTTTTTGATGAAATGACGTCTGCGTGGCCAAAACAACCCCTCAACGCTGCTGATTTTTTCTACCCAAATATACAGTCTTGTGAAATTCTACACACTATATGCTTACTTCATTGTACGACTTCAGAAGCTGAGTTTTGAGGCTCGAAATCGTGCTAACTCTTTGGTAAGGTTGGAACTTGGTTGAAAAAAGGCATGAAAAAGCAAAGATTTTCTAAGCGTCAAACAGAATACCCAACGAAAGAACTTATTTTATCACATAGCTTTGGTAGAAGCTAATTAGAACGCGTAAACCGCAGAAAAATGGACGTTTTTGGAGCCTAATCACTCCAAAAGCATTTAGAGCTTTCTGAAAAAAGTAACGGTCCTCCTTTATAGCACTGGGTTCAGTGTGTGTGTAGCGGACACGTCAGGCTTTGCTATTGTAGCTTCACAAAAAATTTGGACTCAAACGACTGCGATCTTGAATGAAAAATGGACCTTTGTTTGAGGTGTTCGTATAATTATGAACCGCTAAAAATTCGCACTAGGCGCAAAAACACTCCCGAAATTGACATCCATTTTCATTCTTATGGATCATATACCGTTCTCAAATGTGCTCCTTCGCGTGGTACCAACGGCTTTTTGAGTTTCGGTCAAAAACTGCAGAAATTTCTAAAATTTGGGATGTTTGTATAATTATGAATCGAACTGTATAGGCTTAACAAAGCAAGATGATGCGATTAGGTACCGTCAAAGTATTCACCAAATAATATTGCTTTCCAAACTCACGGTCCGCCAATCGCTGACATGTCCTCGTATTCCAAAAGCTGCAAAGAAAATTTGAATGAAGTTGTCTTTTTTGTAGGCAGTGTAATGGCAGGGTACAATTATCGCCAAAGTTTTACAAACGTATGATGTTGTACTATTCAAGCACGATTTTCTTCCAAATTTTAGTTCTTTTGTCATTTTCTTCCAAATCTTACCAGCACACGTCTTTGGATTTTGCAATGTAGGATGTGGAGGAGTTGCGGAAGAACAGATGACAAAGACTTTTAGAGTTTTGTTTAGCATTATCTCAAAAAACATTCCTTCAAATGCACCAAAAGTGAAGACCTTTGGCAAGCGTTGTCTGATGTATGTGAAGGAGTCAAAGGACCAAGTGGATCATCCTTAGATCTAAAGAATTTTGGGACCCAATGGACGAAAATGGTAGGCAGTAACCTGTATTACGAACCACTGTAGTTTTCGTTTCAGATGGGATATCCTTTGGTTACCGCAAGATTTTCAAGCGACACGTTGGAGATAACACAGCAGCGATACACGCTCAATACTTCCATTCAAGAACATGAAAAATATCGTTCTCCTCGTCAGAGGTTGGTGTAGGCTGTTCAATCAAATACTATTTGTACTGATCAGTGCTATTTGTAGTTACAAATGGGATGTACCCATATGGCTCAAAACTAAAAGAGGTGACACTATATTGGAATGGTTGAAAGCAAGTAAGTGTGTACAAGATGAGTAAGTTTGGTTGAGAGCGGATACCGAGTGAAGAAACCGTTTTGGGAGCCTGAGCCATTTAGCTGTGAATCAAGTAATCCTTTGCTGAATACATATAGTGTTCCAGCTGTAGCGAAAATGAATAAACACTGTACAAGAATAGCTACGTTTAGAATTTTGGCAATTTGCGCGTGCAGAATACGGGCATCTTAGACGTAGCTCTGTTTCAATCGCAGTCAGGTCAAAATCGGCATGCCGAATCATGTAGCGAGAGTTTTGTTCTACCGTCAGTCGACTATATGTGAATTTGTACACCATACTACTCACAGCATTTACTATTAATTCATCAACAAAATCTATTTCATTAGAACTATTGGTGCAAATGTACTGCCTGTCCTATACAACTTGGCAAGCGAAGTTTTGAGCATGGAAGTTTGAAATGTAGCGCATGGTGTGCAATATACTTGAGTCCGAATCGAATAGAAATTCGATCATTCGAATAAAACATTCGAATATATTCGTATTCGAAATGCGATATTCGGAGTTCTTCCATTTTCGAATAATGTTCGAATCTCGAATAATTGAGAAAACGGTGTTTCGAATAAAATTCGAAAACTCAAATAATCAAAAAACGAGGTTTTGAATATTATTCAAAAAACGGGGTTTCGAATAGATTTTATTCAAATGTTTTATTCGAATGTTCATTCGAATTCGTATTCGAATGTACTCCGTATTCAGATTATTCGACTTTGTTGCAGAGCCAACTACTGAGTATCAAGCTCACTTCGTCCGCATTTTTTTCGCAAAACTCTGTGATGCATCTTTTGCAACCGGTATAAATTTGAACTGTATGAAGAGTCGCATTCTTTCGGCTGCTTGCGGCAGTAAAAAAAATCATATGTGGAATTTAATTGATGTTTTTTCGATCAATGAGATTGTTCGCACTGTTATTGGCACCAAATCAGCAAAGAAGATATCAAATTCAAGCTCATGTTCTGAGTTCATACTGAATACAAGGGGGTAAATGAGGGTGCGGATATGAATAAAAATTTACTTTATCGATTTTATCGATTTTTGGAAAATTTTGAGCTACGAGGTTGGAAGTTGGTACAAGCGGGTAAGGGAGGGTGCTGATTGAAACCGAAATCTATTTTATTGATTTCAGCAATTTTTGGAAAATTTTGAGCTAGGAGTTGGTATAGGGGATACTAGGGGGCTGATTATGATTGGATCGGTTTTAGCCAAATATGTCGGCAAGTTTGAGATGTGATTGCTTTAGTTATTCGATAAATCATTCGAATATTTATTCGAAATTCGACTTCCAATGTTCGAATATATTCGATATTCATTCATTCGACATTTTTGATTTTCCGAATTTATTCGAAATTCATTCATTCGATATTTTTTGGTTTTCTGAATTTATTCGAAATTCATTCATTCGATATTTTTGATTTTCCGAATTTATTCGATATTCGTTTATTCGGGATTTTTTATTTTCGAATTTGTTCGATATTCGTTTATTCGAAATTTTTCTTTTCGAATTTATTCGATATTCACTCATTCGATGAAAAATTATCGAATTACCCAAGTATAGTGTGCAATACGCATGCTGAGTCGGAGTTAGCGTCAAAAAGACTTTGTTTTAATTTTGGTTTCAAACATAGTTTCAATCATCCAAGTAGGTTTGCAGGAGCGGCTAAGTTTGAGAGGCATTGCGCAAATTGAGTTTTATGTACTTCATAAATGAGGGAACAAGGTGGACAGGTAAAGTACGATGCATAACCTTAGAGCATGAACTCTGGTTCTTGAGCCTGTCATTGTGCACAACATTTTGAGCGGAAATAATGAAGCATTATCTAAAGCAAAACTGAGGCGCAATCGATATAAAGCTAATCGTTGCAGCTTTCTGGGCTCTAGCAGCGGAATGATGATGACATGGGAAAATATTCACCGCACGAAAAGTCTTCTTGCCGCTGCTCCATCTGAACGCTGCATAGATGCCATTAATTTTATCAAACCTTAATTTTCGCTCTAAAAAGTCTCTCAAATTCTCAGTAGCTTTCACATAGCTTTCACAACAGTTAAGGGTGAAATCAAAAAGCTGCAATATTCACGAAAAATGCATAACTTTTGGAACTGCTACTTGAAACTGCTATAGCAGTTTCAATTAGTCAACCTCATCCAAAAGCTTTTTTGTTTGTTGTAGACGAATATGATACGAATCTGGTACGTCAAAGCTACAATGGTAATCGGAAGAGTCAAGTAGTGGCCTGTAGAATTCACAGAAATGAGAAAACCTTTGCGCGCAAATAATCTCACTTTTAGTCTATTGGTAGCAACTAGCGTTCTATCGATTTCATCAACCCAACCTGCAGAACTGGCAGCTAAGGCTGCGTTCATACTGATCCGGAAATTCGGGAGCAGTTTCAGCACAGTGCTTAAACTGAACGCACCGCTATGACTGTTCCGAAACTTCCTGATCAGTATGAAAGCAGCCCCGAAGCCTTCTGTAGGTCGTCAGTTTTAAGCGTTTCTCGCAACGTGCAGAGCAGAGGATTTAGCCCAAGTTTGGGCACGAGAGCGGCGATTGACAATCTGCAAATCGTTCAAGGAAAAAAGCAAGGGAGGTCGGCTCGGCAGGAATTGGCTTTCAGGTCTTCAAAACGAATTGTTCTTTGAGCCTTCCGAAGCCTTTCGCTAAGTCTCTCCTTTAGCCTTATAGAAATTCCTACTGATTATATCCTGACATTTTTACGTGCTGTGATAACACACACAAAAGACTGAAACGCTTGACCCTTTAACAACTTCGAAATTAACAAATAAAAAATGGCGAAGTATATGCGGGGTAGGGAAAATAAAACTCAAAAGAAAACACGTAATCTTAGAACGCAAAAGGTCATTGAAGGTGAGCATGTGTTCTAACAAGCGATTTCATTTTAAGGCAAGGAAATGACTTTAAAAATGCTCTAAACTTGTGTTTACTAAACGAGATTTTTGAACGAAGAAGGGTCTGTATGCCAAAGTCTGAAAATCTTGTGAATCTTCCAGTACTTATAGAATCCAGTCACGGCCTAAAAGCTTTTCTGGCCAACTGTTGATTGGAGCATAAAAAGACTTCATTTAACATTAGGTTTTTCAACTTTTTACATAGATACTGTTCAGTGCAATATTGTATGTCAATACAACTTTGGTGTTATACGATCAAATGTGCGCTAATCAAGTCATCTGTTTATGGGATGATTCTGAATTTTGGTATGTGTGATAGAACATGTTGGAGTGTTACTCGTATACAGGGAGAAGCACTTGGGTGGCAAATGTCAAGCTGGAAATTGTTTCAGGGAAAAGCAAAGGGGGTTGTAAGGGTCATATGCATATACAGTCTGACCCAATTCTGACCAGGCCCAAATTGGCATGGCGGTAGTCCGCTAGGGTATTGCATCACATTTACGTTCAGGTAGTCTGCTCTCTCCTCAATCTCTTCGCTCTCTGCGACAGCGCGCGTATGCAGCGCAAACCTCTAGCGCTGCTTGCGCGCAAATTCAGCCGACGGTTCGGCAAGGGATTTTCGAAAACGAATTCCCCTTTGACCCAAATTTTTTTTGACGATTTCCCCTTTGACCCAAATGCGACCTTGTGATTGTGCAAGCAAAACTATAGCAAGAAAAACTTTTTTTCTTAAAAAGCTCTATCGGATCATAACAAAGAAGAAAGACCTATCGAGATCATTTTAGAGATCTAGAAAAGGTAACAACAACAAAGTTTCTATGCAGCAATCACCCCCGCCGCGTCAAGGCTACGCGATGATAAGCTTTTTCAAAATCTTAAGGCCAATAAATGCGAGTAACCCGGCAATGGAATTTAGACTCCATAACTGCTCCAATCAAGCCAAATTTGCTCCTTTTCCTCTCGCAGTTCGCAGCAAATCGCTGCAATCAATATACTATGTCATTGAAAGGTAGGGGGAACTGCAGAAAAACCGCAACATTTGATGAACGCAATAATGCAAACATTACAGACGAAAACTCATCTGTTTAGGAGTGACCGTTGGTCTTATGGATATTTAGAGAGTGGGAAATGAGAACATACTGACATTTATTCGTGAATCAGATGGTGATACGCCCACTAAATTGGAAAATTAAGATGTTTAACTAGTAAGCTTCGGATCACCAGGATGATTCACGACAAATGCATATTTTGCGTAACTTTAGATAATCACCAACTTTTTTTGGAAAAGATCCTTGCAAAATGGAAATATTACGACCAGCAAAGCTCTGACGAGCCAAAATAGGCTCCAACGAAAAAACCCCATTTCTCAATCTTCTACTCTGAGATGTAGTAAGCAGAAATTTACTCAGTTTAGGCAATGCTGTCAATCTCAAATCTATTCTTTTTTTTCGCAAAAAATTTAAAGACACCTGCTTTAGCCTCTCGAAAGCCATGCTTTTAAATTCCTGAATTGAAGTGAAGAGCAAGAATGCCTCACCTTTTGTCTTCGCTACTTTTCAAACAACTCGAATTTGAGTTACAATCTCTCATTTTCACACCCTGTACAAGATTTTCCATAATACATGATGCACTCTCATAAACATTCGCCTCTTTTCAATGGGTAAGCAAGAAGAGCAAGTAGGAGAAAGAGCCCATTCACATCATATCATCGACAACGCAAACCAAAACATCTATCAAGACCTCCATGGAAATCAAACCTCCAAAGGATCAGCTGACGCAAGAAAATCATATTTGCGCTTGTGACAAGCACGATACTTTAGAACGAACAAAGTTCTACAAAAATGAAAGTATATAAGAATCAAGAGGAGAAGTTCAGAGCGTAGAACAATCTTACGAGGGGCTGGGCTTATCCTAGTTGCAAAAGAGTCAGAGAAACGTGCACATATCACGAATCATTCTCATAATCAGGATCAAACAATGCATAAAGCAACCATAAAATCGTGCGAATTTGACTGCGGCCATTGCGCCCATAGGAAAAAACACTTATACACAAATA